AAAATTCTCACACCTCGTTGATATGTTAGATTTTGGTAATTTCTAGGGTTCCGTACGGTAAAACGGGACCCTATTGGCTATTACTAAGGCCGTCTGTCTGTATCTCTTGAACCATGAAAGTTAGAAAGTTGAAATTTTCAGATTATGTATTTCTTTTGCCGCTATAACAACAAAATACTAAAAAACCTAAAATATATAAAATGAGCAGTGTTGCCAACATGTTTATAGACGATGTACGGAACCCTTCGTGCTCAAGTCCGAGCACTCGGCCGGGGTTTTTTTTATCTGAAAGATGAGAAGTTTTTGCAGGTCGGATCAAAGCTCAAATTTTTATTTTACTTTAAATAGTAGTAGAAAAATAAGTTTGAAAAAGAACAAAAAATTGTGCATTATTCAAATGCATATTCCAGCTTCTATAACTATAATTTTCAAAATCGGGCTTTGGTCCTACCTACAAAATGGTCTCTACTTTTTAATAAAAAAAAAAAATAACGAAATCCGACTATTCTACAGAGCATGAGTATTTCCTGTAAGACATGTGTTTGTACCAAAAAACGCACCAGCTCCGACCACCTTAACTGTGCTCTATTATTTAATTACTACCACTGTCCATGCTGTCTTACTCTTGTTCTTGTATCGGGTATTATACCCTTTAAATAATTATATAAGATTTAGGAAATTTTCAGTTTGCTGATATTATTTATGATTAGTTGAAAACCTTGGATATATAATATTGTATATACAAAAATAAGTTTTCCAATTATATTCCAAATAATTATAAATAAATAAAATCCTGAAACAAGCATTTTCCATTGCACACTCGTTAAATTATTATTTCTAATAAATTTAAATTAGGTACCCATTTGTTTGTCAAAAGTTGTTCTAATATTGTTTTTTGTTCATAACTGAAAATAAAAAGAAGAAAAATTGCATTTAAAACTTAACATAATAATTATTGTTTCCTACTTAATAGTTTTATTTTAATACTCACTACTTTTATTAATAATTATGTAGAAAATATTTTGTTTTTGTTTTAAAAATAAATAATTCATAGAAATTGTATTTATTGACTTTGTTTTTTAGTGCATACATATTAAATTAAGAGTAGAACATGTGCATGATTATTCTACTGTTTGCTCATCGCTATAGCCTATTCATCGTAAGTTGACCTATTTCAGCGCATGTATACTGAGTGTCAAAACGTTCAGACCCCTCTGGCCGGAGACAAGTCAACTTGCAGTGAATAAACTATAGGCATTTATAACCCTCGCCACTCGTCGTATTGAAGGCGATATTTAATTTATTTCATAACTTATCAGCGACACAGTTGATGCTCCCGAGCAACTTGTACCAATCTAATTTTGAATATCAGCCTACCCAACAAGAATTTGTTCACTTTTTGAAATTCCATCACACTCAACCTCATACGGTAACAACCATCCTAATCTTATACAATAAATGCTCGCCAGTTCAATAAATTAGTTTAGTTTATGGCCACTATCTTAATCTTTTAGGTATTTTTATCTTACATTTTAAGATTGTTGTACATATAACCTTTCATTATATTTACCAAATGCTCTATCATGAAAATAAAATAAGAAAATTATATTGAAAAAAATAATAAATAAATTTTATTTTAATTGTTGAATAATAAATTATGTTGGTAGTTTAGTACTACAAAAAGAATAATGTATTATTTTATTTTATACTTATCAACAATTAGCAGAAATTAAATAATGTAATATTTATTAATCATTTAATTCATAAAATATACATTTGATCATAATAATAAAAATAAATAGGCGCTACACAAGGACATAAATAATAAAAGATTTAGACAAATAGTAATTTTTATGTGTATTGTTATTAATTATTAAGTAAAAAAAAAAAATTTCCAACAAAAATCATTTGCACAAAGAGCAAACTTATTAATTATTAAGCTTGAAATAGCGCTTAAATTAATTTTACTTTTGATCCAATTAGATTATTAGGATGTTAGTTTTATTATATGTGCAGTCTTTCCTCTGGATCTGAAAACAAATTAATTCTATAAATAAGAATGATAATTAATTGGTAGAGTATAAATTGTTACTTACCGGAGAAATTAATATGTAAAAACTTTTAATATCCTCTAGTATTGACCTAAAAAAATTCAATTATTAAGTAAATAATGTTTAAAATTTATTTTACACTTCCACTATTGAGTTTATTTGTGTACTCAAATTATCACTTACAATATCATCAATTTTCAAAATGCTGCGTACGGTTTCTGAAGCCAAAGTTATAGCACTAATGGATACCAACAAGGGTTGTACAACATTTTCTTCTAGAATATTAGTTATTGCTCCCTGCAAAATTCAATTGAAAAATAATTGGTTTAGTTATATATACAGATATTTATAATTTTTAACAATTACCTTTCTGACATTAATACCCGCAGTAACTTCGCCTTGAGAATGTCTATTACGCAACTCAGTAACTGTGGTGATGGGGTTAAGACCAGCATTTTCAGCTAATGTTAAAGGTATAACTTCTAAAGCTTGGGCAAAAGCTCTGTAACAGTATGCATCGACTCCAGTAACTAATCTCGCAAGTTCAGCTAATTTTAAACTGATTTCGATTTCAGGTGCACCACCTCCAGCTAACAATGCTCTAAAATGATCCAACGATTAATATAAAAATATAACATTTATAATACTCTTCAATAACTTACCTGTATTTCACCAAACATCTGATAACACACAGTGCATCATGAATTGATCGTTCAGCTTCTTCCAAGACCAATTTATTAGAACCTCGAACTATGATACTAACTGTTCTACCTGGGTTGTTGATGCCTGTGATTTGTACAAAATGACTGTTACCAGTCATGACATCTTCCACCAAGTCTGCTGATACAAGGTTTTCAGCAACAAAGTGATCAAGACTCGCAATTGGTCTACAATTCAATGTCTGGAATATAATTTTAGAAAATTATTTTTCTAGTGAGATTTATTTTTAAATTTCAAAAATATACCTTGCAGACATAATCAATATCCTCTCGCTCTATATTATTAATAACCATACATTTTATTTTATCTAAGAAATGTATAGCCAATTCAGACAATGCATCACGCAATATTGACTTTTGAATCAATAAAACATTACAACCAGCTTTTTTAATTTGTTTAACAATGTTCAAAATATAAGCACGTTCTTCACGTAATACGCGATCCATGGCAGTGTAATCAGAAACCACCACATTATAATCCATCTAAAACAAAAACAAAATTAACTATTAAAACATTGCTTGAAATAATCATTTAATGACGTACAAATTATATAACCTCATGACGTAAAATAATATTATCAATTGCTCATTTAATAATTAAAAGCAGTAGCATAGTATATTCATAGTAATTCGGGGGTATGGTGGGTCACCCCCCCCCCCCAATTTCTATCTCAGGTACCTGTGGGTGATAGGCCTATATTGTTAATTATAAGTCAGTGGTGTCATTTCAGTGTTTAATAGAGTGGGGCAAAAGTTTTGACCAGCCCAAATGGTTAACTTAAAAAACAACCAGTCGCAAGCAGATATTAATATTATATTATGTTAATTTTCATTCATAAAAAATATACATGCGTGCGTAAATATAAATATATTCCAACTATTAATTAGTAATTATTACCAATTTGCTATTGTGATAATAATTTCTTCAATATAATATTTTCCTATTAATATAGAAATGTTTTTGCGCTAATATAATATAATACTTAATTTAATCGAAAACCACTGGGCACCGGCCTATCAGGCTGCTTTTTAAAATCAAACAGCGACCACCTTGTCTCATCACTAAATGACAGCACCAATTACAGTCAATGGTTTGTACTGCAAGAACGCCGGACGGGAAAATTAAAATCTAATTTAGAATTACATATTATTTTCTTAAATATTATTATCTATAGTATTCGACGATACAAATTTGAAAACTTACTACTCAATACAATATTTATACTTCAGAAGGTTAGGTATTTTTTATTAAATATGATTTACTGCTAAATTAAAAGGTATTTACTATATTTACTAATTTTTTGAGTTGTTGAAAGACACTAATGAATAGATTTTAATAAGAATTGTTTTTTTTTTTTATGTTTTTAAAGATTTATCAAATTTTAATTATTCTAGAGCACATTACTTATGCTACAGAAAAACCCAGAATTTGTATAGATACTTCACACAGTTTCTTTCAAGAAATTACGGGTCGACATTTTTTCAGTTGGCATAAATTAAATTTCAGTCAGCAAATACTTAATCTCAATTCCCTCCTCCCATCAAAATTTAATAGCACCGGCCCTGAGTATATTACACTTAAAGACTCAATAATAATTAATAACTCCATAAACATTTAATAACAATATAAACCCTCAACCAAAATAATTCTTCTGACAAGATCTAAGTCAGTGCCCTGATTACACTTAGAAATCAAACAAATATTATCAGAGTAAATTCAATTTCCAATCAGAAATACATTACATTTAGTTTCGTCGAATTATAACATAAAACCTTATGATTTAATTATCATGACGTTGTGTCATTAGTAATTTATGATAAATTAAAATATTACATAAGTTAAAATTAAAATCATCGATATCAGACTTTATAAATTCAGTATCATTGTAGTAATTGGCTAAAAAAAATGGTTTATCACTTGTTCATTGTATATTAAAATCTTTGTTTATAAATTATAAGTTAATATATTATATATTATAATCAATTTCATCTATACTAAAAAACATTTTATAAATACAAAGATATAAAATTAAATAATTTTTACATTATTATAAAATAAAAAGATTAAAGTCGTACCATAGTTTGAAGTATCACATAATTAACTACATTGTATATAATGTCATTATATTACACAATTATGTCAAATGTAAACGATTAATGCATTTACATTCAAAAATAAATAATATACAAATTATAGTAGATAATACATATTTTATTTAGTACAGAACAATTATTTATTCATAGGTAAAATTTGTTTCTCATTAGACATAAAACAATCTTTAAGTATAATTTTTCTGACTAAAAAAACCATGGACAATGTAAGTGTTAATAACGATGTCCACTTCAACAATATCTCACCGAGGTTTATACTAATAGAAGTCTGTTGAAGACTTCTCTTTATGTCGTCAGGAAGTTTGTCAACTTTCACTTCTATCCATGCTACTGGCAGTATTATTCCCTGTTTGAATTTTTTGAAATGCGATATCCCATCGACTTTCTTTAACATGATATTGACTTGAAACCTCGACCGGCCTCCCAGGGACACTCCCAACTTTGAATGAACATCAACAAAGGTCTCGTGCAGCTCAGGATCTGGTGACAATCCGAGAATGTCTCTTCTCAACTCTGGGTCGCCCAAATAGAAATGCGGGAACGACATCATTACCGGGGCGCCATTGCAGGGCGATGAATTGAACACTCCCGATGGAGGAAAATTTTCTGAGGTGTAATAACACTCGTTATCCGGGTTTGTGGTGGGTGTGTCAAACACATTTCTGGGCGCCTGGAAACGGAATGCGGTCACCCCGGGTACCGTTTCGATGTCTTCCTTATAGACCAGCGGAAACCGACGACACAAGTCCATGTGGAACACGAACAGTTTCGACTTGCGGCTCAATGTGGTCGGTGGAAACTGGGACCCGTCACTGCCATCCAACCGGTTGCACTCATCTGTCTTCCACACGTCCAGTGCGTCCAGCCCGTTGTAGCGGGTAATGATGCCGAGCTCGTTCAGGTTGCCGACTCCACTGTGGATCGTGATCCGGTCGGAAGAGACGCCACGCCGCCCGGTAACTATACCAAACTTTGACAGGTGGGCGTCCCTGTGCACAGTTGACGCCAGACTTTGAGCGAAAGTGTATATGCTGTCCTCGTACCCCCAAAAGTAGTCGTTAATTTTTAGGTCCAGGAATGGTTTCACCATTAACCCGTTCAATAACAACGACATGAACTTTTGAGTAAGGAAAAACGTGTCGGCGGTCTTCGATATGGCGCTGATTAGTGGCAAGTTCGGTACGGTTATGGTCAATCGTTCTGGGTCGCCTTGCGACATCTCCGGCACGAACTCATTACTTCGACGCTCCTGGTATGTGACCGTACCGTTGGCATGGAACTCCACGTTAAGCCGTTCGACCGTCTCCCTGTAAACAAACGGCCCTAGCTCTTGGACTATGGGCGTATCGCCGTATTTCAACACCCGGTTGATATTGGTATAATTGAACGGATAAATCGACACGTAGGGCTTGACGGGCGGGTTTTGCCACATGTTGTATGAAGCACTGCCCTGCGTTATAGTCACGAACTGTAAGATTTGGAACATGTAAAACTCTGTGAACCACATGATGATCGTGAATATTCCACTCAGGGCGATCAACACGACCAGAAACAGAAACCCCGAAGGTATCGAATTGCTGCTGGTTTCACAGAGTTCCTGTTTCTTGGTTGACGAACGCTCATGTTCTAGAGTCCCGATTTTTATAATACCGCTGTTGCAGAATTTCAATTTTTCGAGTAATTTTATAGCCGACCATCCTCCACTCGCAGAGTTTACTTTCATATCGTTCGATTTATCACACGTCCCTGGCAACATTTTGAACAGTCGTAGTTTCCTACGACGTATAGCTTTGTACTCGGAAAGATGTTTGACGTAAAACACAACACTGTAAAACTTTCTCGGATGCCCGGAATATTGCGATTTGTAGTGTTAATTCATTTTTAGTATTAAAATATGTTTAATGGGACGTTTCTTTTCAACAATACTAGCAGTCGTGTTTCAATAAATAATAAATGTATACTGTGGTTAATTATCATTTATCACTAATATTATTTTTTTATTTCCTACGTGCTACATAGATAAATAGACATTGGACTTGATGATAAACATTTACAGCTCAATGACGAATGGTTCGTTTCGGAATAGCTCTCAATAAAAACAATGTAGAATAATAGTTACAACAAAAGATTGAAATTAAAATCTTATTCGAGATCAAAGGGTATCTAGCGTATAATAATATATTATAAGTTTTTAGTAAATATTCACACCTTGTGATGTATTTCTGTGTAATTCTATGACATGCATTAAACCAATAACTTAAATTAATATTGAGTAAACATATTTAAATGGATAATGATTAATGATTAATAAACATAACCTAAATAAAAGTTGAAATACGAGTAAATGTGAATTATGTTAATAACTTAAAATTATAATTTATTTATAAACCTAATAAATCAAAAATCAAAATAATTCTATGTAAGATACATAGGTAGTATAAAATATATTATTTAATTATTTAATAATCAATTTAAGTAACATTCAGAACAATATTACTTTTAGATTCTGAACGAAGCGAGGAAGCTAATGGTGGTTTTACAATGGTGTTTATTATTTTTTTTTTTATCCTGTATACAAAATGTCTACCTGAAGGAGTACTTTGATTTCAACATACTAGTATCTTATCTTTTAGCAAATTGGATCAAGATGGTACTTTAGACAGGTAATTTATCGATTTTCTCAAGAATTATTTAATGTCACGGGAAAAACCACCGACAAATAAAAAATTATAATATTATAATATCAATTTAACTTACAGGCTATAGTAAATAGTAACAATATAAAATATCCAGGCACACCGTTTCTGCTCAGAATCGTTTTACTCATACAATGATATTATATTATTAAATTCAAGTTTAATACAATCCATTATACATTTACCCACTGGTAACCTACTGTACAGCAGAGCGACATATACCACTTTTGTTATAATTTATAATCAAAAATTGCATATGTCCCCATCTACCGTAAATTCATCATGTGCATCAAAAATATAACTAATTTACAATACAACAAATATTAAGTTTATTGAACTAAAACTCATATTTGTTACATTGTCATCAATAGTATTCCCATATATTTTTCAGTTAAGTCGTTCAGAGGACATTATAGCAGCATGGGTTGTCTCCGTCTTACTAATGCATAATATAGAAAATATAATATTCAGGAGAAACAGTCATATAACAATCTACTTATTTTTAATGCTAGAATAACTTGACAAGATTTTAAAATGTCCAAAACTTACTTCAAAATTATAATATAAAAAAAATCCTTTCGAAATTCCCTTAATCAGAGGTTCCCAAAGTTGTCAATTCTGACCAGCAAGGGCTCCATGTTAACGAAAAAAAATTAGGAACATAAGATATAAATAAAGGTCTACAGGGTCATTAAGGCGGCTCTTAATGGCTATTATTTAAGGGGAAAAACAATTTAGGCAATTTCTAATCTTATCGTTGCAACTTGTAATCTTTGTGTTAGACGTAAATGATTATTAGAGGGATTATCAGTGAGTGCGGTTTTATGTGTAAGATATAAAATTAGAATTTTGAAGAAATTCGAACTCGACAACAATAGATTTTCATATCGCCCTGACTATGTTCGATACCACACATACACGCATGCATAAGTCAACAAAAGCACTCTCGAAAAATATTTTTGTACACTCGCGACAATGAATAATGCTAATAAGCTGGAGAAAAATTAACATACTTATAAATCCCAATTTCAATTTTAAAAAATTATTTGAATTCGTCATTCTTTTCTATGATTTTAGGAAACAGATTTTGGACAGTTTACGTATTACGGTTCCAAATGACCTTACTTAAATTCTCAAAATTAACTTGCACTTTAAAGTGCTAACAAGACAAAAAAATTGGAAAATGTTTACTGTAGAACATAGAAAAGAGGCTAACGAATTCAAATTAGTATACAAAATTAAAATTGGACTACTAGAAGTATGTATTTTTTGCCAGCATATATGTCTAAATGCATGAAAAATCCAATCGTTTGGATCAGCTTTAAGTCAAAAACGCGTGCATTCTAATTATTACGAAAAACACGAATGCGACAATGCGATAAACAACATTTCTCGTCGTTTAAATAATTTAAAAAAAAAAAACGTGGACAAGTGCTGTACAGTAGTTGTCAAGCATGTCCTTTTAATGGATGTGTTTTATTTGAAATCAATGATAAATCATTGTATAAAAAAAATGATTCTAAGCGGAGACGTTGTGTGTTATATTTGTATAAAAAATCTATAGATAATATAGATAATAATCTAGTCATTTAAAAATGTCTTATGACTAAAAATCGCTTAAAAAGTCAATTGTTTTAAAATTTGACCATGAATGGAAAATAATATAATTTTACATGAAAATCCTGTGGTAGGTTTTAATTTAAATTCAAACACTAATAAAAAATGAATGTAACTTTCCGGTAATCTTTTTTTTTGTTTAAAGTAGGAGACATTGTGAGGAGTATTCTATCAACATTTCTAATGTTAGCTATGAAAGACTTTTATAAAATTGTAACTGAAAAATAGTTTGAAAATTTTCGACATTTTGACGAATTTAGTCAAAACTTAAATACTTTAAATGCATAATAGAAAATAAACGTGCTTGGTATTTTTAATATTTTTGAACTTACATTAACAAAAACGTATAAAGAAACTTGTATTACATTTTCAAGGTTTTTTACTAAGTGAAATAGGTTTTAACGGGAATAATTCAAAAAAATTATCAAGGGTATAACTAGATCAAAGAATTAAAATATTTCGAAAATGTTACCATTAATGGGAAATGCTAATATAAATATTTGGTCGAATATTCGAGGGTGTTATTAAATTTTGAGTTACACAAAAAAAAACTATTTTTTTTTTCAAAAATTACCACTGAGAAAAAAAAAGAAAATCAATCATTAAAAAACTTTATACATTCATTCGCTCTGCTCAGAATCAAAAATGTATTTAATATTGTCATAATTAAAGAAATAAAGGTAAAAATAAATACAAAATGTACGTTTTTTATTTTAAAAATGTTCATTTCATAGTAAACCCTATTCAAGTGCATAGCTCCCAATATTAAAAATAAGTAAAATTGATTATTCTGTGCATTAAATAATCCATGTTATATGTATGTTTGAACCCAAACATGTAGGGATAATGTTTCATAAAGTAATTTTTATGAAAAATACATATGTTTAAAATAATAAATAATTCACAGTAACAACTAAATAGAACATAAGGATTGAGTGTAATCAATTATGGAAATAATTCTGATTCTAAGGGGCTGATTTCACCAACACAGTCAATCACAGTTAACCGGAGTTTAATCGGAAGAATTTTCCCAGTTAAATATCTGTTATCAGCCAATTAAGAGCAATCGGAGTTTAACCGTGATTAACTATATTGGTGAAATCGGCCAAAGCTACTAATGAAGAACTGTAATTTATATACACTCAAATATTAAAAAAATATACATAAAATTTCAATGCAAATGATTAATACTGTGATAATTAGAAGATATTTAATATACAAATATAATATTTTTGTTCATAATTATATTTAATACAATAAAAGTAAAAATCATTAAATATTGTACAAACAACTGGTGAGGGGAAATAATTAATATTATAAAAAAAGCATAAATCAGATGAAAAGCACAAATCATTCGACGTGTGTCGTAATTAGGTGTCCTAAGGCTTTTTGTCATCATTCTAAATTAAAATTGTAATTTTTTTTTAAATAATATCAGACTTCCAGAATAATTTTTATACTCAATAACCTGTGACGATGTTATACAGGTGACATAAATTTAATTCATCATAGTCAATTTATCGATATTAATTTACAATAAACAATATAAATCAGGTACAAATTTATATTATTCGAAAGTAATCGGAATAAAGCGTTCTAAGGATTATGTAACATCAAACAAAAAATATTTAACCTATTCACTGCTAAGCTAATTATGCTCTGCAACCAAAGTATGCTACATAACATAAAATATTGATATTTATTTTGGTTTTAAAATAATCCAAATCAAAAATTCCTAAAATTGATAAGTTACAGGTAAATTATAATATTAATATAAAATACAGGAACGTAATAGAACGTCTGCAGCAGTAAGTGTAAACGTTTTTTTTTTTTTTTTAAATGCTATATTTAGATTTATTCTACTCAAAGGTTCATGGTAGTGACATCAGATATTATTTAAATTAGAATCATAAATTTCATATGTCCCTATCTAGCATAATGTCATCATATGTCAAAAAAATGGTGGGTTACATCCACTAATTAAGTTTTAAAATTTTAAATTTCCAGAAAAATATTTAATACTCAGATAAAAAGCACAAGTCATACGACTGTTGTCGTAATTAGGTGTCCTAAGGCTTTTTGTCATCATAATAAATTAAAATTAAAATTCTTTTAATAAAATATCAGACTTTCAGAATAATTTTTATACTCAATCATCTTAGAAGATGTCGTACAGGTGTCCTAAGTTAAATTCATCATTGTCGTTTTAACAATATTAATTTTCAATAATCATAAAAATCAGAAATAAACATAAACCAAACTATGGAAATCGTAATTTTGTATCCTAAAACTAATGTTTTAATATAAATAAATTAATGAGGTGTCACTAATGGATTAAATAATTTTGCTAACAAAGAGATATTCTACCTCATGATAATATAATCAATGGTTTATAATAAAATAGTCAGATCAAATTTAAATTAGAATCATAATTTTCATATGT